AAAAAATCTTTTAATTTTTCATGCATGTAGAACTAATTTAGCAATAAACAATAATATTGTCGCGGGAAAAGATATTTTTATTATGTTGTATATATGTAAATGTTTTGGCAAAATTGGACAGTCCACGAGTTAATCACTCCGATTGAACTAGAACAACCAACAACCTAAGAAAACAAGGGGACAACTTCTTACCAAAAGTTTGGGAATAGTATCATAGATCCTATCCCCTCCTCGAAGGTCGTTGAGGGAGGAGAAACTATTCTAATATCTCACTCTTAGCACACATACGCGTTATCATCGTCACCCTCACCACCCAGACCTCAGACTCACACAAGCCCGATGATTCATATGTGACATTAAAATATTCTCAGGTACTCACAAGGATTTGAATACCATATTCAAAATTCATACCCTTAAGCATTGAGTTTTACTCTATGATAAGTAGTGGCGGAGTTTTTATTAATAATTTAAGTTAAAAGGGTCCCAGGTCATGTCTTGGTGGGTCCTTAAATTTTTGAGGATGATTTTATTCAATAAATCTAGGTAATCCAAAATATTCTCTAAAATGTCCAAAATCTTATAAAGGTGTTCGGGGAGTGACCCTAAACAACTTTAGAATCTTATGGACCATTTCAAGTTCATTTGATCTTACCATACTGTTGAATTGATCAACCTTGATTAAATTAGAGTTTCATTTCAATGCTTTGAATTATTCTCAATTTTCATGGTTCAATTAATCCATGAGTAGGGCAAGTAGTCACTTCTTTGGTGTTATGTTTGAAATTTATGTGGATGGTTATCCTTATAGGTAGGCTTAGTCGCTTAAGGCAATCTTACTATTTCTTCTCAATTGAATATGAGCTTGTAGTGTTTTAGGAATACTTATGATAAGTTGTGTTCTTTCTTTTTTAATCCCTTTAAATGGTTTTAGATCAAGCCTAGTTCACTACCATGCTCTTAGATCTTTTAAGGATACATTTGTAATTTTGAAAAAAAATTATGAAATATGTTTGATTCTTATTAAGATATTGAATTATGCATAACCATTGGTTTGGGGCTACAAATTTGTTAATAACCGTCTTCCTAACTTGTGTCCCCTTTCACTTGAATCATCCAAAATTAATTATCTTCCAACCCTCAACAATTTGAATAATTAAAATTATACATTTTAATAGAAAATGATGTGAATTAGTTTCTACCCTTTAACCCTTATATTTCAATCATCTCAGAGGATTAATTATAAAAAATATCACTCTTATACCTTCTGGTTTAATCTAAATTTTAATTAGAGTATAAAATTCTAAAATTACAATTTTACCCTTAAGGTTTTTATCCCATAACACTTTTAGTTTAATTCGAATGACCATGAAACATTGATGCTCTATTACTCATGGGTTCATTGAAATATCAGAGGAGATTTTAGATTTTTCTGATTTTTTTTATTTTTTAAAATTATTTTGGTTTATAATTATGAATTTTCTATATTAATTAATTAATTTGTAGAAATATGTTTTCTGTCCTTAGGAAAATTCAAGTGTGTTCGTATGGGTTAGAAGACCAATTTGAATACTTTTCATATATATTTGAATTATATTTTATTTTTTATGATTTTTAATTAATTTTAATGAGTAAATAAATATAAAATATATTTTTATTTTGAAAATTATTTTTTTATTATTCATTAGTCTCTTTGACCTCCAAGAACTCAGAGAAATTTATTTTATAACTTTGTGATTTTTATCTTATTTTTTATAATTATTTTAATAAAAAAAATATAGAAAATTACATTTAATTAATTAAAATACATTTTTATAACTTAAAAAATTTATAAAAGCATTTTTAAGTTTTTTCTTTAATCAAGGAGTAATTTGTGATATTTTAGAATGTTTTTGTATTTTTTGTATTTTTAATTATTTTTTATTATTTTTAATTAAAAAATAGTTAAAATGAACTTTTGATTTTGACGTTGATTTTATTTTTCCTAGTTGCCTCTTATCTCAATGAACAACCCTAAACTTTAATTTTTAATTTCATGATTTTTATTTTATTTTCTATAACTATTTTAAGCAAAAGTTAAATTTTTTCTTAAAAAATACATTTTTATATAAAAAATAAAACCTTCTGACTTTAAAATTTTTATGCAAGCATCCTAAAGTTGTTTTCTTCACTTGGAGGTATTTTTTGTGATTTTTTGAATTATATTTACATATTTAAAAAAAAATTTCTTCATTTTTTTAAATAGAAAAATACTTAATAATGCATTTTTTATTCTAAATCCCACTTTTTATTTTTCGCTTGGTCCTCTAACCATGTTGAACACAACAAACTTTACTTTATATATTTTTTTGTTTTTATTTTATTTTTTTTAATAATTTTTTAGTTCAAACAAGGCAAAATTCCTAGAAAATTAGGACTTTTGATGCTAGGGGTGTTCTCCGACCTTGGAAAAATAAAAAAAAAACATTCCTAGGATCATTAGGAACAAACCCTCAAAATTTCATGTGATTTTGATAATTATTTAATTAATCATAATTAAATTTATCTAGGGGGTTTTAATTAATTTAAAATAAATTACTTAATAATTTTTTAAAATTTTTGGCCCATTAAATTTACCTTTGTTCACTGAATACAAATGTATTTTTTTTTTATTTTTATGATTTTTCTACACCAAGATATGAATTTTTAAGTTAAATATCATTTTATGTATTTAATTAATTCAAAAAATCCCTATTTATCTACTTATTCATGTGGTGCTGACAATATCATCAAACCCGTCGAAAGCCCACGTGTTGTCCGCGCGGTTCGCATAACATCGCCCCGTCCAACCCCAACATTGTCGCTCGTTCAATACACGTGAAAATGAATGACATCCGTGCATTGTCCCTGATCATTCGTAACCTGTGAACCGTTTGTGTTCTAACTCTAAAATCTCGCTCGAAACTCAACTAAATTAAGGTTGGTTTGTTCTTACACATTCATCTACGTGAGACGAACACATCCATACGACTAAAATACGCTTGGAATATAAATTTCTTTCATAAAGATTCAAACCGAGACAAAATTAGGGATTTTCGGGCTGTACCTTTGCCCAAGAGGTGAGGACGGGTGGTTGAGAAGCTTCTCCTTGGTCTCACGAATGTCCTCCAATTGTCAATTTGAGTTGTGGTTAGGTCTAGCTATGAATTTGGTCGAAGGGTGTCTCGAGTGTGGTCTAGGGTTAGGTTAGAGAGCTCGGGATGGGGGCTTTTAATTGGGGAAATGATTTTGAAGTGCTGTGAAACTTTTGGGATGATCAATTAGGAGTTTCGTGGAGTTTGGTGGAATGACCGATAAACCCCTGGATTTCAGTTGAGAAAATAGGGTTTCTCAGTGGGGAAGGAGGGCTGAAAATGGTTGGGATGAACTTCATGAGGTCGTGGGAAGGTTTTGGAATGACTTTGGCAGAGTTCCCACAAGGTCTGTGTATGTCTCCCCTATGGTCGTGGGGTGGTGGTGGTTTTATAAGTCATGAAAGGGTGGTCAATTGAGTTGCCCAATGGGTGGCAAAAGGTTGCTTAGGTGGAGGGAAGAAGAGAGATAATATCCAATGGGAGTGACCTAAGTAGGGGAGTTCAAATCTTGGGTTTTGGCCATAGGTGGCCTCTCATGTTTGGAAAGCAAATGCATTGAAAGGTGGTCAATTGACCGTGTGTCAGTGCATTTGCCCATTCTTATATGGAACGGAGAGGCAGCTTTGCAATTAGAGAAGACAACGAGCAAGAAGGAAAGGAAATAAATTGCGTGATAACGAGGTAAATGAAAAAAAAAAAATTGTTCTTACAGAGTACATTCCTACCTCACATGTAAAATTATCCCCAATTTTTAGGTTCATCTGCACATGATGGTTGCAAACACAACTATGCACATAACTTAAAGGTTGGTGCAATTACTTGGGCTCGTTAAAGTGAAAATGATAGGATTAGAGTAAATAAGTTCCTTCCAAAATGGCAATTAAATAAATGGAGGTTATTGAATTCATGCAATCTTTCATCTTCTTTTCTCCTTCTTTGGTTTGATAGTTCTATGATGCAAGTTTGAAAGATTTTTAGATTGTGCAATTTTCAATATACTAGTTTGTTTATCTAATTAAACACATATTTTTTTGAAAGTTTTAATTCATTTAATAAAAATGAAATAATTTATTTTAAAAATATGTTTAATACTTTATATATATATGCATAAATTTAAAAAATTTTTATTGAAAGCATATTAATTTAGTTTACAATATGTATGTATTTGATATGATTGTTTGTGCTTCAGCAAGGATCAGTCCCTTGACATTTATTTACATGTAATGCTTTCTCTTTTTTCATCAAATAAAAATGAGTTCTTCACAAGTTTTTCTTATTGCGTGTAGTGGATTTTAAAAGTGGTTTTTTGTAGGAAGATCTTAAATTTTATTTAAATTATAGAATTTAGAATTGTAATTTGATGATGATTGTGAGCATACTATATTTATGATCCAGACGTGCATGGACGAATTTGGGCTCAACATAAATGCTAATAGAATATTTTGTACAATATTGACCATGTGATAAACAAAAGGCTAATATATATATATATATATAGTGTAAATAAATATTGGTTCATTGTAAACTAAACAAGCCACTTCATATTTTTTGTTTGGTATAAAGTAAGAGAAAAATAATATATTTCAATGTAAGCATTAATGTGTTAGCGGTGGCTGACGAGTGGTTGAGTGCAGCGGGCAATAGCTGCCCGCTGTCGGGGCACTTTGCAATAGGATTGATTACATAGTCTTGATCAGTCTAGAAATTTTTCAGGACTGAAAAGCATGATTAAGGTAAATATGCTCATATGTACACATAAATTTATAAACTTTGCACTCAATTTTATTTATTTTTTTGCATCATTCGATTGGTTTCACTTAATAATGCTTGTTTAAGAAACACAACTCATATGCAAAGCAGGTGAAAACAAATGCTAAGTATTTTTCCCCCAAGTGCAGGAAGCAAAACTTTGTTTTCAGAAACAGAAAACAAGTGCATGCCAGTAGATATATATTTCTATATCGTTCTGTTTTGGAAGCCCAAAAGCTTTAAAAAATTAAAAAAAATAATAATAATAAGAAGCCTAATTGAAATGAGTTCAACTATGATCCAAGATCAAAATGCATTCCTAGTTACTCCAACATTCCAGCCTCTTTCCTTCTCCTTCACATGGCGCTTCTGCTGAGACAACATTTTATCTGTCTTTTTAGCATCACTTCCAGGTATTCTTCTTGTCCTCCAGCCACTGCTACCAATAGAAACTCTCAATTTCTCTCCAGTTGCGTTGCCTCTGCAACTGGACTGAGGCAATGGTGATCTGATAATTAGCTTCTTTTGTAGGCTTCTCCTCTGTATGCCATTTTTCTTGTTACTTCTTTTTCCTCCTTGATCACAGCCTCTTCCTTCAGAAGGATTATCTTTTCCTGCTTCCATTACAGTCAATGGGAATTGAGGAAGAAAGCATGCCAATGCTGCTGCTTTTGCTACTGGAGGTGGAATCAAAGAATCACGGCGGTTAGTTGGAGTCATGGACATACGGCGCATCGCATTTTCAAGAGAGAGTCTGTTGGCATTTCCAGGGAGTGTATCTTCAGCCAGCTCAGGCTTGTTCTCCTTATCTTTTATGGAATTAAGGAGTTTGAATGTGACAGAAACTGAAGAGTGATCTGGACTGTTCTCTATGATGGGTTTTAAAGTTTTTCTTTGATTTGCAGGACTACTTTGATTCCTCTCAATAAGAGGCCTACTTGCTGAAAGAGGAGAGTCAGAACTTAATGGAGTATTTTGTTCAAGCAGTTTTTGCTGTTGCTGTTGATTCTCTGCTATTTTGAAGTCAACATGTTGCCTTGCCAGTTTCCTTTCAATCAGAAGTTGTGATTCCAACTCCTTAATCTGCACAGAAATAGAATCTTCATGTCAGAATTTTTCTACCTACTAAAATTTAGGAACCAACATGGACATAAAGCCGATTATCTCAACATGAACGGACCATTACTATCAATTTCTAAACTCCAAACTAATATTTAGAATCTTTAGTGGAGAAGTAAGTTTACATAAACCAATTTTTTTTTTTATCAACCGTGTTCATTTTGTCATCATAAACCAATTTAGCATAAGAATAGATGCAAAATTACAACAGATAATTTAAACACATTCAGAAGAAATAACAAGTGACCTGAGACCAAGTCTCTTCTATTGAGAACAAGACTGAGCTGTATATTGTTATTATTGTTGCCTTCTTTTGATTCAGTGATAAAAAAGCTGACAAAAAATTCCTATTTAGTTAGTATCTTATTATAAGCTTTAATTCTATTATGATTCATTTTCATTACCAAATCATGATGGTAAAGTAGGCACTTCAATCTTACAAAGACTTCAAAAAGACAAAGATAGCATATAAAAAACAGAAAGGTTGTTGAAGAGGAAGTCAATAATCTAGATTTTTGCATTCCATATAAACTGAATGCAGAATATTCTAATAAAGGTTAAAGCAAGGTCCATACTTTCTCCTGAAGATTTCTGTTGAGCAGATCTTTTGCCTTATTCTTTGATTCTACGGAACAGATCATCTCTTCCAAGCTTTTTATCTGTAATTCTTTGTTCTTGATCTCCTGCTTGGCCTTCTCAACCTAGGACATAAATTTGCAAATGAATTAAAATAATAGAAACAGTAAGATTCAATACAAGTAAATGTTTTTGTTCATTATATTATTATCAGCCTTGTGACAGATATATCATACCATCTGTTTACTTTTGAAAGGTTCACCGCCGTCAAACTGCTTCTTTGCTAGGCCAAGCTCAATTCCCCTAACCCTGCTTGCAAAATTCAAGGAACACAAACTCTCACCAACATCATTCTCACTTGGACTAATTTGCACAAACATCAAAGTCTTTGATTCTCCCCCTACATGGCTCATTCCAAGCAATCTTATGGTCAAGATAGAGGTAAGATACTCAATAATGACCAGAAAAAATAAGTTAAGAGAAAAAAAAATACCTAGTGAGTCTTGTAGTAAATGAGTCAGTTTCGAGTTCCTACAAATTCAGAAAAAATTACAAATCACAGAACAATTAGTATAGGAATGAAGTAGTTATGTTGCATGCAAAAGGTTCCAGCTACCAACCTGAAAGGAATATGAGGACTTTTGGTTGCAAGAGCATATATCACATCTCCTAATGCAGAGAGGGATTTGTTAATGCATTGTGCCTCTTTCAGACGCTCCCCTTGAGCATCAGTTTTTGTTATTCTCTCACTTCCAGCAAGGTCAATAAGCCACAATTTACTTTTGGTGCACTCACCATTCACCAAATTCTCACCTCTTACCAATACATAGTGGATGCTAATAAATAGATTAAGTAGAAATTAAGAAAAGCAATCTCCAACATTATTTTAATGAACATTGCTTAGAAAACTGACCAGTGTGATCTGCTGCTATGTTCATTTGAATTGGTGGATCCAACAGATCTCGCTTTACTGCCTGTCTGTAAAACCTCCCATGCTTCAATCAAGTTGTTAACACGAGCTTCAACCAGACCAGGCACATGATGTACTCCTTCCAAAGCTTGTCGTACTTCTAGTCTACAGCTTTTAAATACAATTAAGAAAGAATGCATTTATAAGTTAAATCGTTAATTTGTACGATGCATTTATTTAAACGTTACTTTACAACATACGTCTTTGCAGCAACTCCAGGTTGAGATCCAGATAAGAGCAAATCATGTATTTGTTCATTATACACCTCCAGAACACTTACGGTTATTTCATATTGGAATAAACCTTGTCTTTCCCTGACAACTCGAAACAGTTCCTCAAGGGTCCTAAAGTTCACTCCACGAGCTCCTCCTGTTCCTTCCATGGTAAAGGTTTTGCCAGTTCCAGTCTGTCCGTAAGCAAATATGCAGACATTGTACCCATCCAACACTGATGTTGCAAGATGTGAAGTTTTTTCAAAAACCCTTTCTGATCAAAAGAAGACTCTATTTTCAGGTGGACATTAGCACATGCTGCCTATAAGAATCTAAATAAGAATGATTTTTATTCAATACCTTGATCTTCTTCAGGACTGAAAACTGCATCAAACTTAAAAGACTTCTTTAGTGCTCCATTGGTTTTAACAAGGAGCTCACCGTCTTTTGCAGATTCAAAATCTAGAGCCATATCATCTCCTCTAGATATTTCTTCTGAACTAAGAGGCCGGCAACGACAAAAAACTCTGATGTTTCCTGCAGTATTATGGGAATAAATTAAAGGATTACGTATTGTTATTCAGTAAATGCTTTAATTCCTTTCTAACATTTGGCCAACCTTTCAGTTCAATCATTTTGTTGTACAAGTTCTTCCGTTCCTTGGACTCTTCAATGAACCTCAATTTTAGATCTTCGTATTTTCTTTCAAGATTAATGTGACTATCCACTGTCAAAAGTAATTAAATTGTCTGTCATTAACAATTTAAAAGGAAACAAAGAAATAAGCATACCTATAAATCTAGAGCTGAGAGAAGAAGGAACAAATATACGGACACTTACTGGAAGGTAAAATGGTGCCCATCCTGCTAATCATATCGGCAAGGCAATTTTTAAATTCCAATGCTTCTTCTGTCAACTTGGCATGCTCTAGCTTCATCAACTATCAAGCTCAAATATGCAGAAAAAGACATAAGCTATGTTCTTATGTAGTTTACTAAACCAAACATATTAATATGCTGGAGTCAAACATCAAGGTAAGAGTCTCGTAGCAAAAAAATGGGAGAGTTGAGCTGGCCGACAGAGGGATATCTCTGAACTAGATAAAACTTCAAAAAAAAAAAGTTAATAAAATAAAGTTTAAAAAATCTGAGTACCTTAAGTTTCTCCGACAAATCTTCTGCATATTGACACCACCTACTTTTCTCCTTCACCTGTCCTTCCACCGCAAAAGCTGAAAAAAAAAACAGCTGTGGTTACTATTATTTCATTTAGAAGGCATATTAGTACAATTTCCATACCTAAGGAGCCAACATGTAGAGATTTCCGCATCAGTTCCATCTGAATTTCCTGTAATGATGCCCAGGCCTCATGGCATTCATTTTCGCATTTGGCAGCAGCCAAAGCTTTTCTCATTTCTAATTGTTCTTTGATGAGCAAATCATATTTTCGCTTCCATTTCCTATGTTCACGGCAGTTGTCCTGTAAAATTTGATGAGTAGGTTGAGAAAATCAAAATTTAACGTGCAGATGTCCAACAAGCTCCTACTAAATCAATTAGTAAAATCAGACCAACCATATTTAGCATTTCTTCATTGCTTCCATCTAATGACTTGATGCCATCTCCTTGTTTCTGAATATTCTCATTTTCTAATCAAGCCCGGCATACTTTATTAAATGAGTACTGATATATGTTATATTACTAGATGCTAGCAAAATTAGCCAAGTGAAAGGAAGTTGTTAACAGAAAACTAACCGGCAGGAAAACCCCCCCTTCTTATTGAAATACCACATACTACTGGTTTTCCAACAAGCCCTCTAAACTTTATTGATAAACCCTCCCCTCCAACAACTGAAGCTTCCACATTTGATATTACCAGTGGAAGGTTTGGACCAACCTTTGCATATATGTCAATGCCAGAGACAGCCTGCAAAAATACTCACTTTTCATACAAAGAGCTAAGTGATGCAGATAAAAAATAGAAAATTCCTCCAGAACTTTCTCACCTTCTCTTCCTGAATATAAACATCAAAAACTCTCATTCCAGGGGGGCCATTTGTAAACACAATCTCTGCAAAGTAAAGGTCGATAAGGTAATCCCCCTCTTTCAGATTAGGGAATTCATAAGAGAAGTTTCCAAACCGAGCAGATTGATATAATGCATGCACACTGCCATCCAAGGCTTGAGCATCTGCTCTGATAATATCTCCACCCGTGTAGAAACCATCCTGTTCAAACGTTTTTCCCTCGTAAGCAACAGAAGCATCTACTCCTCCTGCATTTAAGGCCAAAACACTCCCCTCAGCTTCCAGTTTCTGTGGAAAATTGAGAGAAAATTCCAAACTGATCGCTTCTTTCGGCAGTTTTACATCGGAAGATTTTTCTTGCTTTTCTGTAGCTAATACTACATGGTTTTCAGAGAAGAGCTCAACAGGTGAGATTGCAATATTCTGCCTTTTTCTGATATATGCAGGACTCTCCTGGATATTCTCACAGGGTACTTCCGGCGAACAGCTGGTAGGCATGGTTAACTCTGAAAATGTCACCGAGAACCCACGCTTGGAGTAACCTGTAGCATCATACCCAAAAAAGACCAGATTATGCAATGCATTAATTTCACAGTTCCAGATGAGGAACAACAAAGAAAATACTATTAGATCCCAGGTTGTTTCTGCAAGATCAAATAGATTCACATTCATGCTATTCTATGAGTAAATAGATGAAATAACCTTTTAAATCCGCCATTTTCACATTCCTCTCTTCCATATACATTAAGGCTTCAATTCGAAAGTCACTACCAATCCATCTTCTTCAAAATTCTCCAATTTCACAGACTTGAACGGAAACCATGATAAAAATATTCAAGCTTCTCCTATTCAACTGATTCTTCTTTCTTGCGACGTCGCTCAAGAAAATTTAACCTTGCCGACTAGGGTTTTCTACTGATTCAGAGAATAAATTCGAGGAGGGAAAGATGTTTGAAAGAAAGGAGGCACGAGAAACCGGAAAAGTGGGCTGCTGCGTTTATCTCAGCCGAGAAAATTCGATTTTTCCTCTGAAAGAGATGAAGAAGGCCGATTGAGAAGGGACGACCGTTGGAATTTTGAATTTTCGAAAAAAGAATGCGCTCGGGTAAGAAGTGCCATAACGGATGTGTCGCAAAGAAGGTAGGGCTGGATAACCGGGATTTCGTACACGTTACCGAATAAGTTGTTTTCAGCCGTTTGATCACTTTACCTTAATTAAACACCTGATTTTGACGGTCTGATTTTTGCGGATAGAAAAATATAATCACCTTAATAGGAAAAAAATATTACATCGGATTTTCATCCGAAAGTTCAATGACAGAACGTCACGTGTTAAGTGGATCTCACTACTTTTAACATTGGTCAATACCAATGTATTATGGTGGAGCTCACTTAACACGTGACACTTTATCATTAGACTTCAAACGTAAATAACCTTTTAGGGTTTATGTAATATATATATATATATCAACATAGTTATTAGTTTAAATTTTGAAAGTGATTTTCTCACAGAAATTCTCACCAAAATCCATTCATTTTCTAATTGAATTATACGACATGACTAAAAGCATTGGTTATTGACATAATTTAAATCTTTATAATTTATGCAATCATTTTTCACTGTCTGGAGATTCAAAAACTCCGACTCTTCTAAATATGTTGATTGAGGAAATTTCTTATAATGTTTATTATTAAAGATTACAAAATGAATAGAAAATAGAGAGAGAAACAACACCAAGAAACGAAGGTCTGAGAGATTGAAAATAGAGGGAGAAATACCATCAAGAAATGGAGAGATTATTCCATACAGAGCACTTATGCAGCTCTGCGTGCGTGCGGACTTCCGATAATATGTCGTCATGTGGAGGTTATTGAAAGGTTATTCAAGTGAAAAAATAGAGATTATTAATGGGTTATTGGAGTGTTATTTTGTGGTTATTGAGGTGTTATGTATGGGGCGGAGATGGTGTTATTATGAGATTATTGCGGAGTGTAACCACAAATGTTATTGAGAAGTTATTGAGCGGAGGGTTATTGAGAGTGTAACAGTGAGGGTCATTGGGAGGTTTTTGAGAGGTTATTAGAATTAATGGCGATGTTTGATGCGAAAGTTGTATCCGAGTGTGGAATTTATAATATTAAGGTATTGGGCGTGTGTGTGTCTATATATATATATATTTACTAGAAAACTTGACTCATGGTAAGACTTAACTCTACCATTTCTCATAAAATATTTATTCCTTGAGGGTGGGCAAGAAATTATGGTAGAGGTGGAGAAAAAATTGTTCACAAAATGTCACTAAAAAACAAATTTTTATTGGTTTAATTTCTCTCATTCCTTAAATATTCAATGAAAAAGTAGTTTTCAACTAAAGATTTTTTTTATCATAAGTTTAATAAATTTCTCCATCAACAACCTACTCCAATAACTAGGTTATGTAAAATCTCAAAACCTTTAATTTTCGTGTTACTAATTAATATTAAATTAGATTACCAATATTATTATGACTATTTAGATGCATGAAAATGTTTATCATATATCCATTAAGGGTACGTTTGGGGAGGCGATGCGATGTCGCACCGCAATTTTCACTATTTGACAAAACTTCATTTATTTTGCTTTTTCAAAAACTTGTAGCTGAAAGTTGTGTTTGGTCATCGATTTTGGCTAAGTGTGGTGGCTAGTAGAAAGATGTATTTTACTTTTTCAAAAAAAAAAAAAGCAACAACCATCGTTGTTTTTTATCAGCAACTTTTTTTGCAACCGTTTCTTTACACAACTGTAGCTGCCCTAAATAGACCCTAAATTTATAAATTTCATCACACATGGGTACAAGAGACTCAAGAATAAGCTTAATTAAAAGAAAAACCATTAAGAGCCAGTTGATAGTAAGTAAGACTACTTGTTTAGAACCACAATATTCTAATTTCATAGTTACATAATAGTTTTGTTTAAAAATGAACATCTTAATTATAATAATAGTAGAAGGACTCGAGTACAATCAAATTGATTTTCAGATCTCCAAGAGACACTTCTCTTTGCTCAATTAGATACATCAAAATGTAGAACATTTATAAATTTTTTAATCGGGAAATCAACATATTATTAAGAATTATTGAGTGAACATATCATCTTTGTTCATACATTTGACTAATATAGTCAACCATCAATAATCAAGGATTAATTGGGTTTGCGTATACAAGGAAGATCAATTCAAATCTTAAATGATTTAATAAAATTGAAAACGCATAATGCTCAGGTATGTGAAAGAGATAAGCTTGTGGAAAAATGAAGCTCAAGTTAGCTCTTAAATAATTGGTCAAATCCAAATAGTCATAAATATTTTGCAGCTTTTCAAACGACCAAGCAAATATTATGGGCCAAAATTTTTTTATCATAAAATGACTAAGAAATATCAAGTGTAAGCTAATGCAATAAAAAAGAGGAGCACTGTAGAGTTTACTCAAAATCCTCTACCTCAAACCCTTTCATTCAAGTATATAAATTCCAACTAATCTGAGAATCTAATAAATAAATTAAACACCTTTACAACTTTCAGACAAAAAAATATAAATAAATTGATGCTTAAGTTCAACTAATTCAAGTTTCTCGAGATAATGAGTCAAAACTTATCAGTCCGCTTACATAAGCTTGACTATGATAATATCTTTTACTTGATTATCTAACACATTCTAGAGATCACTCAAGATAATTTTCTTCTTCCTACTTATGTTCAACTTTGATCATTAAGTTGTTCCCCATGCAAATTCCTTTGTTTATCTTAACTAGAATTTCAACACATCACATGAACTATGCAAATTAGGATGTTAAATTGATTATAATTTTCTTTTGGGCTTATCAACCAATTGGATGAAAATCTAAATCATTTCAATTCCATATTAATTTATTCATTTAGTTTGGTTTGACCAATAGTAAATCAATGCCAATTTTTATTGATTAGAGAAATCACTTAATTAACCATCATTCACATAAACTCTTGCTATCTCAACACACAATTTATGTATACATTAATTTATCTCATTTATATGTGCATCACTATATAAGGATCATAGTTAACATAGAAAGATTAGATATTATCTTGGTGTATCTCTATTTAATTAGCTACAAGACTCATAGGTTCCATTAGCATAAGAGAATTATGCATTGGTAATAAGCTTTAGGTTCAATACTTTTACTGTCAAGTCTTTGTTTACAAAATAGAGCTCTCACTTTTGTGGTTGAGCTGATAAGATGATTCAAATGAGCTCATCTTAAAAAATTTTAATTTTTGTGCCCATACAAGTTTAAGCACAAAAAAACCTTGCTTTCAATACTTCATCTAAGAAAATGAGCATTCACTATTGTACCCAATTCCATGAAATGGTTTAAATGAGCATATATTTGATAATCACAATTTATATACCATACAAGCTTCAAGTGCAAAAAAAAATTACTTTGAAACATTATCTCAAGAATGGACATTCACCATTATGTTTGACATGAAAAGACAATTAAGATGAGGTCATTATTCAAAAAATCAAATGTGTCTAAGAATCATCAAGTTTAAAAAGCCACCTATTTGGGATCTTATATTGTAAAATGAGCATTCATCATTGCTTCTAGTTTGACAAGATGTTTCAAATGTGCATACTTTCAAAATTTTAAATTCTTTCCTTACAAACTGTAAGTGTAGAAATTTTGCCACTCGGGTCCTCATTTTGCTAAACAGACTGCCACACTTGTATATGAAAGTGATGTGGACTAAATTATAAGGATTTCCTACTTTATATCTTATGTATATGCAAATTATACTTACTTTATTTTCTTAAAACTAGATAAACAGACTTTGTTACACTGAAATTTATTTTATTCTTTTATATTTTATTAAAAATACTATTTATTTTTTTATGCTTAAAACACTAACTTATATGCATATGTAGATATATATGGTCACACATGTATATACATATGTAGATATACATAGATACACATATATATCAATATGTTGATATCATATATATATATATAACTTTTCATACA